GCCCACCTCCCAATGCCCTCCCAGTCCCTCCCAGTGCCCTCCCAGTATATCCCAGTGACCCCCAATCCCCTCCCAGTACATCCCAGTGCCCTCCCAGTCCATCCCAGTGCCCTCCCAGTCCATCCCAGTGCCCTCCCAGCACATCCCAGTGCCCTCCCAGTACATCTCAGTAACCCCCAATCCCCTCCCAGTATATCCCAGTCCATCCCAGTGCCCTCCCAGTACATCCCAGTGACCCCTAATCCCCTCCCAGTACAGCCCAGTGCCCTCCCAGTAAATCCCAGTCCCTCCCAGTACATCCCAGTGACCCCCAATCCCCTCCCAGTCCATCCCAGTCCCTCCCAGTTTGGTCCCAGTCCCTCCCAGTCCCCTCCCCCCTTAACCCCATGCAAATGAGATGCAAATGAGATGCAAATCCGGCTCCTTTATTGGGATCAACGGCGGCGGCGAAAACCTGTGGGGGGAACTGGGAGTTACTGGGAGTTACTGGGAGTTACTGGTTTGGGGTCTGGGAGTTACTGGGAGTTACTGGGAGTTACTGGTTTGGGGCCTGGGGGTCACTGGGAGTTACTGGGAGTTACTGGGAGTTACTGGGAGTTACTGGTTTGGGTTCTGGGGGTCACTGGGGGTTACTGGGAGTTACTGGGAGTTACTGGTTTGGGATCTGGGGGTCACTGGGAGTTACTGGGAGTTACTGGTTTGGGGTCTGGGGGTCACTGGTTTATACCGGGAGTTACTGGTTTGGGGTCTGGGAGTTACTGGGAGTTACTGGGAGTTCCTGGTTTGGGGTCTGGGAGTTACTGGTTTGTACTGGTTTATACTGGGAGTCGCTCACCCCTCCTGCCCTTTTTTTTGGCAATTTTCGTCTTCCTCTTCCTCTTCTTCGGAGGCTCCGCCCCCTCCTGGGGGAGGGGGCAAAGTTCAGAGAGGGGGCGGAGCCTCAGCGAGCCCCGCCCACCCCTTCTTGTACTTGGCCCCGCCCCCTCTCACCTGATTGGCCCCGAGGAGGGCAGGGAAGGCCCCGAATTGGGTGATGGAGTCGAGGCCCCGCCCAGGCCCCGTTTGGCCCCGCCCCCGCGGGGGGCGGAGCCGGCGAAGCGTCGACTCCTCGAAGTGGAGCCTGGGGGGGG